ATTAATTACCACCACCACAATCTGAAATAGCCCATTTCATCTGATGAAATAAAGTGGCTTTCAGTACAATTAGAAGCTAAGTCAAGTCGTTACGGGAATGGCAAGGAATGGCAATAACAGCTCCTTACCAGTTTACCACAGCATTAGGAAACCTTTGAAGACTACCCATCCAATCCATTTCTATTTGTTCATATATATATATATATATATATATATTTTTTTTTTTTTTTTTTTTTTTTTTTTTTTTTTTTTTTTTTTTTTTTTGAGACAGAGTCTCACTTTGTTGCCCAGGCTAGAGTGAGTGCCGTGGCGTCAGCCTAGCTCACAGCAACCTCAAACTCCTGGGCTCAAGCATCCTCCTGCCTCAGCCTCCCGAGTAGCTGGGACTACAGGCATGCGCCACCATGCCCGGCTAATTTTTTCTATATATATTAGTTGGCCAATTAATTTCTTTCTATTTATAGTAGAGACGAGGTCTCGCTCTTGCTCAGGCTGGTTTCGAACTTCTGACCTTGAGCAATCTGCCCTCCTCGGCCTCCCAGAGAGCTAGGATTACAGGCGTGAGCCACCACGCCCGGCCTCTATTTGTTCATATATATTTTGATGCGGTGGGAAAGAGGAAGAATTAAATTCTCTTGGCATTAAGTTTTGTGTTGTCAGGGATGGCTGAGAGGCAAACTGACTTCATATGTGAACTCTCAACTACTGGATTAAGGGTAAAGTATAAAAATTTTCAATCTGCTAAAGAAAAAATTTATGACTGAAGAGAATCAGAACAATATAAACTCAATTTTACTTCATTTTTAAAGGATAATAACTGGCCGGGTGTGGTGGCTCATGCCTGTAATCCTAGCACTCTGGGAGGCTAAGGAGGGCAGATTGCTCAAGGTCAGGAGTTCGAAACCAGCCTGAGCAAGAGCAAGACCCCGGCTCTACTATAAATAAAAAGAAATTAATTGGCCAACTAATATATATAGAAAAAATTAGCCGGGCATGGTGGCGCATGCCTGTAGTCCCAGTTATTCAGGAGGCTGAGGCAGCAGGATTACTTGAGTCCAGGAGTTTGAGGTTGCTGTGAGCTAGGCTGATGTCACGGCACTTACTCTAGCCTGGGCAACAAAGTGAGACTCTGTCTCAGGAAAAAAAAAAAAAAAGGATAATAACTAATCAGTTTCAGTTTGAACTAATTTAATTTGGTATATGATAGCATCAGTTGTAGAACACAAATCAAACTAAAAACCTATCATGGCCAGGCGCGGTGGCTAACGCCTGTAATCCTAGCACTGTGGAAGGCCGAGGCAGATGGATTGCTCAAGGTCAGGAGTTCAAAACCAGCCTGAGCAAGAGAGAGACCCGTCTCTACTAAAAATAGAATGAAATTAGCTGAACAACGAAAAATATATGGAAAAAATTAGCCGAACATGGTGGCACATGCCTGTAATCCCAGCTACTCAGGAGGCTGAGGCAGAAGGATTGCTTGAGCCCAGGAGTTTGAGGTTGCTGTATGCTGGCCTGATGCCAGGGCACTCTAACCTGGGCAACAGAGTGAGACTTTGTCGCGAAAACAAAAAGAGCTATCTCATAAGCCACTCTGATGTCCACTTTAGAAAACATAGTATACATCAAGAAAAAACCAGAAACATTTATCAGTAGAAAGAGTGTGAAACACAATGGTACACAGATCACTGAAAACATTTTTAAAAATTAAGGAGATTTAAGTATAATAGATATAAGCAAACATGTGATACTCAAGATAAGTAACCAGCATGAGACCCAAGGTCTGAATTCTATTTCTGTCACTTATTCCTCATGTGGAACTGCTTTCTCTTCAAATCTAAGAGCCCAGGGTCTTTTTTTTTCTTCTAAATACATGGGTTTTCCTTAATCTCTCCTCTTATTCTACCTCCTAACTCCAATCACCCAGTGTTAACCAAAATTTCCCTTCATGTTCTGACATTCTCTTCCTAAATACAACAATTAAAATAAGCTACCCTTAAACATATTCCTCCATTCTAAAACATCTGATCAGAGGACCCTACTGTAACAGCATATTGCAATAAAACAATGCTTCTCTAGGAAGGGATGACGGCACCCCTCTTCATCCTCCCCAAGAGATCTTGGATGCTCCTAAGAAGTGGTGAAGAATGGAGCAGTTAACAAAAACAAACACATAGTTTTCTTTCCTTAAATGTGTCTCCTTTCTTGAACTCTCTTCACCTCCACTCTGTCCTTAACACTCAAAAAGCATGAATACCTGCCTCTTTCCCTATATCCTACTTCTCACTCCCAGAGCCCACAAAGGAAATAGGTATCAACAAGGCTGAAATTCTAGAACAGATTCTGGTGTTGGTAGCAGAGAAAGACACTAGGAATGAAGTGCAGATTGCTCTTGTTTTCATTAATGGATAATACAAGTAAGTACCTAATTGAGTAGTGGAAAAGTTCTTTGGGAGAAGGAAAAGCAAGATCTCAGCACACTGAAAGTAAGGATAAAAAGAGGGAAATTTTAAATATTATAAGACTCCTTCTAACTTTATCACTTTCCATAAAAAGTTTAACATTAGCTAATACCATAGCTTTGGAATAACCTGCTTTATCCTTTAAGCCTCAGTTTCTTCATCTGTAAAATGCTGATACCAATAACACTTTCACCTTACAGGGTTATTGTTATTGTGAGGATTGAATGAAATAACACATGCAAAGATAATAGCACAATGCCTGGCACATAGGAACACTAAAAATGTTAATTTAAAAGAAACTTGAAAGGGCTGGGTGCAGTGGCTGATGCCTATAATCCCAGCACTCTGGGAAGACAAAGAGGGGAGGATTGCTTGAGGTCAGAAGTTTGAGACCACCCTGAGCAAGAGCAAGGCCACACTTCTACTCAAAAATAGAAGAAGACGGCCGGGCGCGGTGGCTCACGCCTGTAATCCTAGCACTCTGGGAGGCCAAGGCGGGCGGATTGCTCAAGGTCGGGAGTTCGAAACCAGCCTGAGCGAGACCCCGTCTCTACTAAAAATAGAAAGAAATTAATTGACCAACTAAAAGTATATATACAGAAAAAAAATTAGCCGGGCATGGTGGCGCGTGCCTGTAGTCCCAGCTACTCGGGAGGCTGAGGCAGGAGGATCGCTTGAGCCCAGGAGTTTGAGGTTGCTGTGAGCTAGGCTGACGCCACGGCACTCACTCTAGCCTGGGCAACAAAAGTGAGACTGTCTCAAAAAAATAAATAAAAAATAAATAAAAAAAAT